CTCTCTCTCTTAAGGGATTCCACATATAACTCATATTATTCTCCCCCTTAAAAAGTTTCTCACTAAGAGATCACATAAACTCTTCTTCCCCTTTTTAGCCATAATATGACAAAGTCTTTAACAAGAGGTAAGAACCACACTTAGACTAATGTCGGGACATTACATTAAACATCTTTGCACACTTTCCCGTACCAATCCACTACAACACATCAAACTCAACACAGACAACAACCTCAAGATAAACAGAGAAAGTCCTGAAGTCATGGTGTACATGAGGAAGAAGATATCAAATACTCCCCCTTAAACTGAGAACTATGCTTTGACACAAACAGACACAACATCCTCTTTTGGATCATAAGAGGAAACTACAGGGAAAAACCAACACCCACCTGGACTACCCTTATACACACACAGAGGACCAGACCTCAAACTTGGGTAACTTAGAACACAAGATACAATTGTATTCTTAACTCGTATCACAAGAAACGACAACAAACACCGAAAAACAAACGGACTCAGAATAGGACATCTTATTCGACATCTTTGCAAAAAAACTGCAAAAACTAACCTCAGACTTAACAATGTATGAACACTACCCATTTTCCCTATGCTTGCCACATATTGACAAACATAACCTTCATAGAATCAGACCCAAATAGAACTTACACATACCCGAACAAAGGACATGAGAACTAGACACACACAAAGTGAATGGAAGGAAAGAAACAAAAGACTCTATAAATACCTGAGCAAAAATAATAAACCTAGACAGTAACAATTGTCTTGGTCAAGAAAAGTTATTCGAGGAAGAAACATTGAATCAGGTAATAATGTGCCCCTGTCAAAAGATTTGAATGTTTATCATAAATCAAGATAATTTTTTATGGAAATGACAGTTCCCAAAACATGCACATGTATAGCTGGAACACGTGATACACACCCTCATTACTTGTATAAGATATACCGTTCAAAATCGATCCTTGCTGGTCTCAAGGAAAAACATGTCTTAAGTTATGTCCTGACATCTTGCCAGACATTGTCATACAAGCTTTAAAAAAATAGTCTTAGAAAGACCTTCTATAAGCTCCGAGGCATAGATAAAATGTCCTTTAATAGTCTCCAAATTCACTCGTTTCCGCCTTTAAGAGTGACACACCAAATGCTAATTAATTTGGCTCCTTCAAGTTATGCAGAGAAAAATACATTCACCCAGATACCAATATAATTTCTTAGAGTCTATCCTGAGAAACCTGAGACCACATGATTAAACAAATCATATTCACATGATTTAACCACATATGACCTATCAAGCATATAAGTAACTACTTCTTGTAGATAAATGTCATGACATATTGTTTGACATCACAACCTCATAAGAGGCTCACAACTGCACCATTGCAGCCATAGTCCATTGACAGGTACTTCACTCCCCATGTCATGGATAAAAAATGCGCCAGCTGAAGATGAATGCATGAGCATCGAATGAAGAAACATATGGGACTTCATCTCTTCATAGTGTAGGGTAACAACTACATACTCCTTATTGGACACATCAGCTGAGCACTTCACACACTGTAATATCAATCCTGACTTTTATAGATCCCGATAAATCAGCTCATTGAGAATGATCTCAAGTACCCTTAGTTGTCCATATAAACAAGAACACATTTGACTTGGAACTTCTTACATATTCCAGAACAAATTCTCTTAGCTTCTTGTTATACAAGATCCATATTAGCACTCTTTGTCACTTTTAGTGTAAGAAACTACTTCCTTAAAAGGCATTCTGATCAGACCCCCCATCTGATATATTTCCCTTGGAAATTGCTGGATCAACTGATGTCTTCAAGAGTCATGCCTTCACCATATATCCTTGTGGATAGGGCCAGAATCTTCATAACCTTCGTTTTTCATACTAAAAAATGCCACTTATGAATACTGTGATGAACTTGTTTGATAACCACCAATGAGCATGATGTTACAACATCATCTAGGACATCAACTACAAAAGCCGAATCACGTTGTCATACGGATAGCACCACTTAGAGAAATAAACTATCATTAGTTAGTAGTTATCTTGCCCAATCTACTTCAAATGGCCACATAGAGAAATATCACTTCTGTACACATTTTTTGAACAAGAATGTTCAGACTGCATAATTTCACAACTCCTCAGATAAATACCCAGTCTCCCGTCAAGGTGTTCAACATTAGTCTTATGCACATCCTTCTAAAAGGATAGACAAATACTCAGCTCTCGTAAGAATATTAATCACAAGTCAGATACACCACCTCCTCACACGAGGTATCACATTTTGTCTGACTATCTTCTTCTGCACACCTATAGCACAAGTTGAATCTTCATTATGAAATCAATCATGACAGCTATCTTCATTATAAACAACTATAAAATAGGTAAGTGGCTTGACCTAGTGCTTCATTCTTGACAAAACAGGCTTCCTTGGCTGAAGACTAAATAACAAGGATGATGTCCCAACATTAGTTCTGACATCAATCTCACACACATGGATTCGACAACCACTATAGTTTTGGAGGAACATCCATATAAATCCATGCATATCTCTTGCAAGGGATACAAGATCACTCTTCAGCAGTTGATCATCCTTCATGACCAGACATCAAAAACATGCAATGACCTTTATGATACACACCTCTGAAACACAAGTACATACCTCCTGTCTGACTTTGAGGTGGTAGGAGCCAATCTTCTGCACCTAAAGAGGAGATTCCTTATCACACATATATGGAGAAGAAAACAAAAAGTAGGTGATAAGGCTAGCACTATAACCTAATCACCAATGTTTCTCCAAGGCTCACTAATGCACTTTCTGCCCTAGTGCATAAACAAATGTTCCAATATGTGAGGAGACGACATAACAGGACTCTGAACTTGAGAGGGACCTCCCTTGAGTAAACATACCTTGCTCTAACAAGGCATGATCAACTCCACTTATTTAAGTAAACAACTGAATACTCATTCCAATAGATTGGATGATACTTCAAAAGTGCAGATGTCAATCAACCACTGAGCTTAGGTTGATAAACCTCCATTTATTATCCTTCCCTGGATAATTGTTTTTCTCTTAACTGAACAAGAGTTACATGCTCTAATACGATGGGAGAAATGACTTGGGTGTTTTGCGTTTGATCGCAATTGTTGCGGATAGCAAGAGTCGCCACCGACTTTTCTTTTATCCAATAAAGGAAAGGGTGAAAACAACAGGAATTAACTTTTGATATATTTTCTCGAGTTCGAGGGGTAGGTTATGAAAAGGGAAGGTGTTGTCACCCTTTTCATCCATATTTATCTACGGGATCTTAGTTGCTTGCTAGATCACCTGAAAATGCTTTATTTGAAAATGTGTTCTGTGATGGGTGCAAGTTTGAAAATATTTTGAAAATGCCTTTGTTTCGGAAAACATTGTAATGATTCTCTTCTCTATAAGAATGCATACAAAGTGTTGGTTTTGAAAATAGTTCAAAGAGATGTTTGTTTTTGAAGATGTCTTGAAAGTGTCAGTGTGAAAGTGGTTTTTTAGTTTGGTGAGCAAGCAACTACGAGCGTCCTACCTACTCAAAAGGTCTTTGTTCTTTTCCTTATCCTTTAGATGTTTCTATCTTACCATTGATTGGTAAGAAGCTCCATCATAGAAATCAACTTGTGGGACGCTTTAGAAATTTTCATAAGGGGCTAGATCGTTTACCAAAAGTAACATCAAAGGACATCGAGGGACTACGATCTTTTTTATCGAAGGGTCTTTGCTAAAGCGTCCCATATTCGAGGGACATGACTATTTTTCCTAAGGCAACAAGCGAGGTTACCCTAAAGGTGCGCGTGTGAAAAGTGATTTGTTTTTAATTGAATTATTTTTAAATTAGGTTATCTAGTGATTGTTTTCATGTCTTGCCATACACGCCTAATTACTATACAATATAAAGAAAAATAGTAAATTGCGGAAAATTAAAATTCTACGCTATTACAGTGCTTTATGGAATGGGGAGTACAAATTTATAAATGGGGATGGATCAATGCGATTAAAAGACCACATAGGCAATCAATACAACCAAATTAAATCGAATAATTAATTAAAACTACAATAATCTATGAAGTAAAAATTAATAAACAAAGTATGGAAATAAAGTTCTTGGCGTTTTGTTTGTGAGAAATTTTGAAAAGAAAATGAAAACATATTTTATTAAAGAAAATAATTGATTAAATCAATCGTATATATTCTTGTATTTTTCTATCATGAAGAATTTAAACAAACAATTTAAGACTAAATACAAAGTTAATTAGTAAAATTATTTACAAAAAACCCCTAACTATGTATACACTAAATATCTCAAAAGAAAGTTTATTAGACTATATATAAATAAAAAATTTGATAAAATTATTTACAAAGTCTAAACTAACTAGTTATTTAAAATTATATATTTTCATTTAACTGAATTTAAAAAAAAATAAAAAGCTAAAAAAAACTAAACTAATTCGTTATCAAAATTTAAAAGAAATTAGAAAAATAAAGCTCCAGTAGGGTTGAACCCGGGTTTCCTTGGTGCTACAAACACCACTTGCCAGCTGAAGTGTATTGTTCATTCATTATAATAATGATTTTATTAGAACAAAAGGGAGAATATTAGCAGATATTGGGCCAGTAGCCCAATGGGCTGACCCGGCTAGCATAAGAAAAGAAGAATTTTAGAAAACCCTAGAACCAAAAGAAATGCGCCACCTGTAGTGTTATTGTATTGGGAAAGGAAAAGAAAACAAGATATAACCTTATTATCTATTCTTCCTATGTTACTGTTAAAAACAAAAAAAAGGATTAAAACTCTCTCTCCTCTTACGGATCATCATCTTCATATTTTTCGATACCAAACCATACCCTTTGTTCTTCTTGTTTCAATTATTTTCTTTCTCTCTGTTAGAACCAAATACTCCCTCTCTCCTTCAGCCTCTCATCTATAACAGTGATTTCATGAAGGTGGTGGCAGAGGAGGATTGTGAGGCTTACAGACTGGTGTATGTTGTGCGGCGAGAGAAGTTGTTAGGAATAGGTTTGCGGAATTTGGATTGTGATGGTGGATACGGTTTGATGGTGTTGATGATGGATGGGGTTAGCAGCTTGGTTGAGAGGGGCAGTGTTGAGAGATGAAGAGTGAGTTGCGGTGTTACAGTTTGGGTAGCTGCACGCGGAGAGAGAGAGAGAGAGAGCAGCTAGCAGAGGGTTGCTGGTTCGATTAAATGGTGAGGGTAGACGTTGCTGTGAGGTGTGTTGAGATAAGAAACAGAGGAAGAATGGGTTGTAACTGAAGGGAGTTTGGTGGATTAACAGTGATGTGGTGTTGTGGGTATGCTAGCGGAAATAAGAAGAGGGGGTATCTAGCGGATGTGGGTTACTATGAAAGGAGGGAATTTGGTGTTGGAAGGGAGGAAAATTTAAGGTTAGGGAGAAGGAAGAGATTACTATGTGACTGTTAGTTGCTTTTTGTTTTTTTTATATTAACTGTATAATAAAAATAAAATGCATGCAAATAACATACTTCATGATGAATGCATAGAAATGATGGAAATTTTACCTTATTGATGGCTTTTCGTTTGACAGGGAAGTTGGTTTCTGTAAATTTTCTCTCTTTCTGTTTTCTTTGTTTTTGAAGGGTATGTTGTTTCAGGGAAGATGATGAGAATAGGTTCAAGATAGTTATGATTTCTGTGTGTGGTGTCTTTTTCTATTTGGCTTATTTGTGTGTATACAGTGATGGAAAAATGATGACACTTGTTGTTATATGATATATGCTTTTGTTGTAAAAGAGAATTGTTTTTGCTCTTTTTTTTCTTGATGGATCAACTCAAACTGCTTTGTTGTGTTACTTTCTTTCTTATATTCATCTGAAAATAACTTTTAGGGGGAAAAGGATCTGGATTTTGAACAAATTTGTTATGATGCTTTGCTCCTTTTTGTTGCAGTTTTCTTATTTTCTAATTTTATGCAATTGTTGGACTATTTTTTGGTACAGATTTGGACAACAATGCGAGGCTGCAATGCAGTCTGTTTTTTTTTACAATATTTTTTTCTTATGTTTGTCACTCTTTACAGCAACGCAGGCCTAGTTTCTCTTTTTTTTACAGTATTTTCTTTGTGAACCAAAAAGAAATATATATTTTTGTGATTTGCAATGAAGATATTTCTTTGGGCCAATGATTAGATTGTAATTTTTCTACGAGGCATGGTTGCTTGAATGTGATTAAGACACCCCCTTTTTTCTGATTCCCGATGCAACCCTTATGATGAAACTTTGGAAAATTTCTTGTTTATGTTCCATTGTTTACTTCTTGATTTCTTACTAACATATTCTTCTTCTTTTGTATTTTTTGTTTCATGTAATGAGCATGGTTGGTATGGATCATTGAAGCAAGAGAAACTCAAGGCTACCATGAAATCTTGCACAAAATAAATTCAAAATGACCATGAAGCTTTGGAGCTTGGAGTTTAAGCTTAGAAATCTTGAGCATCTTTGGTTAGAATTGATGTTGTGATTTAGGTTAGACCATAGGAAAACTTGAGAATTCTTGTATTGGATTTATGTTGAAAGTGTAAGTATTAGAACTTAGATGTTCATATGTGTACTTGATGATAAATCTTGAAGATTTGGTAATAAACTTGAAATTTCTCTTGTAACATGAATGTGATTTGAAAACTTAGGCTATAACACTTGTATTCTTTTTGTGTCATTGAGTTGAAATTGAAAAAAATTAAAGCCATGGTTCTCTTGAAATTGATGGTGAAGACAAACTTTGAAAACTAAAAAGAAACTAGCGTTTTGAGTTTGAAAGATAATATGTAGAACGTCTTGAAATTTGGAATTGGAATTGATGTTGCACTTGTAATTGATTTGAAAGAAATTAAGATAAAGGAAGTTGATGAATGCCTTGAATTCGAACTAGTTCACATAAACGAATTTTTTCCAGTATATCAAAAGTGTGCCATAAGCATATTGATCCTTTTGAATACCTTGAAACAAAAATAAATTCATGTGAGTGAATTATGCCTCACATGCTTGAATTGAGCCGAAATCAAAATAATTATTTAAATGGGTCCTCGAATCTTCTTCATTAAAATCCATATCTTCAAATCATAGTAACTTGAAATACGAGCCAATACTACGAATCTTGCCTTTAAGAATTTCGATCAAAATCCCACTTCGATCCAATAATCGTTATTGTTCAAGCGCAAACAATTTGAAGTATAACTAACAAACTATCCATGAACCTTAAAACTCAAACTCTTGTTTCAATGAATTATCTCAACATAATGATCAACATCTAGAAGTTAATAACACTCTAAAGTCAAGAAAATCCTATAAAATTTCGATAAGTTTCATGGTCTCCCAAGTGCATTTTGACTTTGATCGTTGAAGCAATCTCATAGACAATGATATTTGTGATGCTCCGTAAAAAGAATCCCTTCAGAACATTGAAAATTGAATAAGTTATGAACCTCGAAAATTGGACAAAAATTTCTCATGATTAGGTCAAATTTGAAAAATGACCTCTAAAGTATTCGAATTTTCTGATGATCTTTCACACGTAATCATCTCTTCCCTTGTGAAGAGAAATTGGTGATGACATCAAGGAGAGTCATATGCAAAAAGAATCACTCAAAAATATCGAATAATAAAGAAGTTACAACTATTTGAACTTGATCTTGCAAAGATCAAATGTTGGGTCATTGCAGTTCATTTCCAGCCATCTGAACCATTGACTGAGCAAATTTGCAATGCAAGGCTTGAAACATGGCACGAGCATCCTTGAGAATACATAAAGAACCATGAATATCACTTGAAACCTTGAAGACTCAATTTTCTTTGGGAAATACCAAACCCTAGTTGCTGACTCAATGCCTTGGAAGATATTCTGTCTGGTCAAACCCTAAGCCATTTTGAGTATTTGAGAAACCCTATGATAGCCTCTTGAATGAAAAAATGGGAGGGAAAATTTTAGGGTACAACACATGCTCTCATAGACTTGACAGTATTTCAAGTTTGAGTAAACAACCTCTATTTTGTTTGTAAGAATAACCATCAGCCTAGAAACTTGGATAATTATTTTCTTAAGTCCCTTTCTCTGAACTTTAGTTCCTTTGGTCAGAAGAACCTAAAGATGTCAGAGATAATGTCCTCGACATTAGGAATGGACTTCATGAATAATCCTGTTGAGATGTCTTTTTAACAAGTCTTCGAATAGAACAACATGCTCAGCTTTTGCACTCCTACTTTCTTAGATCAGAAATAAACTAACCCAAGAAGTAAACAATATGTTGCTCGTGTCTTGACTGACGTATTTATCTAAGATAAGTTTCTAGCATCGAAACTTCTTAAACACAGATGCCTCCTCTTCCAGATCAGGAATATGTTCCAAACATATATGATCAATACACATTTGTTCAGCCCCCAAAGCATCTGCTACACCATTCCTTTCATCAACAAAATTCTACATAATCTGCTGACGAGATGTCCCAACATCATGTAGAACATCATCCAACGAATGCACCAAGAGACCCGTCATCAAAGACTTATGGTTGGCCTTTCAGAGAAGAGAGTAAAAATAAATTGATTCCTTCAGATCTCCTATCAACAAACTTATTTAGAAGTACCCTTATGAGTGGACTTGAGATAATCCTAAAGTATCTTTGGCTACTTTAATAAGTTAGTCGAGACTATCCTCCATGTATCACAACACCATAGGATACACCTTCGGAGAGGAAGCACACAAAACCACCATGAGTTTTCCACTAGATGCAGCGAAAACAAAAAGAAAAATTCTTCAACTAAGCTTCAGGAAAAACATAAGATTGAAACTCAACCAAACCTCATAGTAGCTCACCACCAAGGTTTCTCACCTGACATCTTCAAAACAGGGCCACCATACACCTGTCACAAATAGTCCATCCTCCACTTCAAGGGACCATTCGTACAAATATGAACTGACCAGGTTTAAACAACTTTTTAGTATAACCTCATTCCTTGCACATGAGCCGAAAGTATCTTTCCAGGATCTCATCCAGAGACAAAATAAGATTCCTGATTCGATACCAATTGAAATTCTGGTATAGCAGAACCATATGGCCTATAAGATGTTGAGACATCTGGTCTGTCACAAACAGCGTGACAAGGAATATACAATTAAGAATAGATACTGAAAAGTAAAGTGCATACAGAATTGTTAACCTAGTTCAGAATGTAACACCCTAAAATAAATTGTTATAATTATTTTAAATAATTGACTCTGTGTTGATTTATGCTTGTATGTGTGGTGGAGTGTTATAGGTTAAGAGGCCTAGAGAAGGATTTTTTCCTTAAAATTATAGGGATGTGTAGTATTAAAAAGGGGGTGTGTGAGTAAAATTGTAGAAACATGGGTGTAGGGAGAATATTACCTTATTATTATTATTGTTAGAATAATGATTATAATAATCTTAAATAAAACTATTAATAATAATAAAGTGAGGGTGTTATGGTAAGAGTGAGTCGGCTAAGTAGGAGAATAAGGGGAAGTCCTTATGAGGGCTATTTATAAAAAAAGGAAGAGAAGATAATTAGATTAATTCTAATTGATCATAGAATTTTGGAGGAACATAGAATATATAAGAGGCAAGGGAAGGCTAGGTCAAAGTTTCTTCCACCATTGTTAAGGAATTCAAGCTTTGGAAACCAAGGTAAGGGGGGAGAATGAGTTCTCTAATTTGGTGATTATAGCATGAGAGGATAGTGAGGTTCCTTCCCCTCTTAGGTTTTCTTAATTATGTATTCCTTGTGTGTTTTCTTTGATTGTGGTGATGAATGTTATGATTTCGTTTGTATTGAATTGTGTTTGCATAATTGTGATAGTTGTGATGTGGGATTCATGATTATTATGGATTACTATGGGAAAAACTTTAAAAACAATAGATTAGAAAACATAGTTTTCCCTTAGGTATTGTGTTGTAATCCTTAGAATTGATAATGAAATTGGTAATAGAATGTATTATTAGCAGCACTAGTAAAGGCCTCTGTTAGAATGCTTAAGATTAGGATTTTAAGGTTATACTATGTTGGATTTGAATTGAATAAGGTCGGTGTTAGTGACAAAATTTGTAGAATTAAATAACATGTGTCGACTCAAAGGGTTCATGCGTCGACTCATTAAAGTTAAATAATTAGTATGCGTCGACCTTAGGGTCGATGTGAGCACTCCCGAAGCAGACAGAATACCGATGTGTCGACCTGAAGGGCGCATGCGTCAACTCATGCATCCAATTTTTGACAGATTTATCTTAAGGCCATAACTTGAGTTTCCGTACTCCGTTTGATGCATTGTTCAAAGTGTTGAAAAGCTAATGAAATGAACTATACCTTGGAAGAATAAAAAAATTCATAGGATGTAGTTTATAGTTCTTGAATTATGATTAAGTGATGAACTATGTAGTGCTAACATAAGAAGTATGCCTTTTTGCTAAGAATTGACTTATTCATATCTTGATACACTTTAATAGGTGTTTTGTTTATGATGATATGGTGTCATTATGATAATGATGTATACTTATATTGATGTTTTAATGATAATGGTGAACTATTCTTCAATGTTAATTCTTTTTTTTCCTTTGTAAGGGCTTGTGATTGTATGGACATTCATGAGGAATGCCAGTGATTCGAAAGGAATCGTGGTGAGTATGTGACTTACAGGTGATCATGAGGATCATATGTTATAAAATAATATTTATGGTTTTTGTGAATATTATTTATATATATATA